TGGCGCTGTTGTCGAGGAATTAGATAAAATTATTGATAATATCAATACTAGTTAAATTTGATCTAATTTGATTTTTTTATTTCCAGGTTTTGCTTAGTGCAAGAGAAGCAAAAAGAGGTTGGAACTGCTACCTTATGATCCAGAAATTGAAAAAACAGCAAAAAGACTGAGGAAAAAGAAGCGAGAAGCTTGAAAAAATTCAAACACTATGGCAGACAACGAGAATCCAAGACGTGACACACAAGCTCTAAGGGATTTTGCTCTTCCACAGGTCACAGGAATCAATTTAGTCATCAGGAAACCTAGTATTGCAGGCAACAACTTTGAGATTAAGCCAGCTATCATACAAATGATCCAAACATCAATTCAATTCCATGGATTTCCGAGTGATGATCCCAATGCCCATATAGCAAGTTTTCTGGAAGTTTGTGACACCTTCAAGCAAAATGGTGTTATTGATGATGCCATTCGCCTCCGGCTATTTCCTTTCCCTCTTTGAAAGAGAGCAAAAAGTTGGCTAAATTCATTACCTGCAAATTCAATCACTAGTAGGGAAGATTTAGCTCAGAAGTTTCTCGCTAAATTTTTTCCACCAGCCAAGACAGCAAAGATGCGCAATGAAATTTCAAAATTTTCTTAATTCGAGGGTGAAACACTTTACGAGGCTTGGGAGCGATATAAAGACCTACTTAGGCGATGCCCTCACCATGGATTGCCGAAGTGGATTCAAGTTTAGAACTTCTATAATGGACTTGTTGCCTCTACAAGAACTCTAATAGATGCCGCTTCAGGAGGAGCGTTTATGGACAAATCCCTAGACGATGTATATGATCTGTTGGAGGAGATGGCGATGAACAACTATCAATGGCCAAATGAGAGAATTTTATCGAAGAAAGCAGTAGGAGTGCATGAGGTTGAAGCTATCACTACCTCGACAGCTCAAGTCCATAATCTTACTCAACAATTGAAGGCCAACCAACTGACAGTAAATGCCATTCACTTGACACCACCAGCTTGTGATTTTTGTCATGGAAACCATCTGAGTGAAGGATGTCAAGTGGGAAATCCCTTCTTTCAATCCCAAGCAGAGCAAGCACACTTTGTTACAAATTACAATCGGTAAAACAATCCATATAGTGCAACATACAACCCTGGATGGAAAAATCACCCCAATTTTTCATGGTATAATCAAAATGCATTGAAACCTCCACCTGGTCCGTCATCTAGTGATCCGCCGAAAGAGAAGTCAGCACTTGAAGAAGCAATGGCACAATTAGCAACTAACACCAACAAATTCACAATAGAGACTAAGACCAATTTTTAGAATCAAGCGGCTTCAATACGGAATTTAGAAGTCTAGGTCGGTCAATTGGCTAATATGCTAACTGGGAGACAACAAGGAAACTTGCCTAGCATGACTGAAGTGAATCCAAAGGAACAGTGCAAGGTGATCACTTTGAGAAATAGAAAAGAGTTAGAAGCTCCAATTACTGTTGAAAAGTTTGAAAAAGAAGATCAAGAGATACAACTCCACACACAAACGCTTAGCGAAGAGATTTCTAACAATCAACCAATCCCACCACAGGATCTAGCACCAAAAGTTCCATTCCCTCAACGACTCAAAAAGAATAAGCTTGATAAGCAATTTTCTAAATTTTTAGATGTGTTTAAAAAAATTGCATATTAACATTCCTTTTACAGAAGCTCTCGAACAAATGCCAAGTTATGTGAAATTTATGAAGGACATCTTGTCAAATAAGAGGAGATTGGAAGAATATGAGACAGTAGCCCTTACTGAAGAGTGCAGTGCAATTCTACAAAAGAAATTGCCTCCAAAGCTCAAGGATCCAGGGAGTTTTACTATCCCTTGTTCAATTGGAAATTCTATGTTTGAAAGAGCTTTATGTGACTTAGGTGCAAGTATTAATCTTATGCCTTTGTCTACTTTTAGAAAACTTGGACTAGGTGAGGCGAGACGTACTACAATATCATTGCAATTAGCAGATCGCTCAATAAAACACCTAAGGGAAATTATTAAGGATGTGCTTGTTAAGGTGGACAAGTTTATTCTTTCAGCCGACTTCCTCATTCTAGACATGGAGGAGGATAGGGAAATTCCTATCATTCTTGGCAGACCATTCTTAGCTACTAGTCGAGCTCTAGTTGATGTCCAAAGGGGAGAATTGTGGTTGAGAGTACAAAAGGAGGAGGTAACCTTTAATGTTTTTGATGCCATCAAGTATCCGGATACAAGTGAGAGTTGTTTCAGCATCCGAGCAATCGACTCCTTGGTCACTGAAGTATTTAACCAACAAAAGGAGTAGTTGGAAGCTTGTTTGGTTAACCCAATCCGACTATGGTGGAGGATCCGGAAGTGTTAGAATATGCATTGTGGATGGATTCTTTTGGTCCTAACCACAGAAAATATTTTGAAGATTTGGGACATGGAACATCACGGCCCTTTCCATCTATTGAGAAACCACCCGCATTGGAGTTTAAGCCCTTACCTGAACATCTTCAATATGCGTATCTTGGTGAATCATCTACTTTTCCAGTAATTATTTCATCCAAGCTTTCGATTGAAGAAGAGGAAAAGTTGTTAAGAGTGCTTAGAAAACATAAGGCAGCTATTGGATGGACACTTGCAGATATCAAGGGAATTAGCTTTTCTATTTGTATGCACCGAATTTTGTTGGAGGAAAATTGCAAGCCAACGGTGGAGCATCAAAGAAGACTCAATCTGACAATGAAGGAAGTGGTGCGTAAAGAGGTCTTAAAATGGTTAGATGTCGGAGTGACTTACCCAATTTCTGATAACTCATGGATCAGTCTTGTGCAAGTAGTACCAAAAAAGAGAGGAATGACAGTGGTGAAGAATGCTAACAATGAGTTGATCCCTACAAGAATAGTTACTGGGTGGAGAATATGCATGAATTATCGAAAATTGAACAAAGCCACTTGGAAGGACCACTTCCCCTTGCCATTCATTGATCAAATGTTGGACAGGCTAGCCGGGCATGAGTACTATTGCTTCCTAGATGGCTATTCGGGGTATAATCAAATAGCCAGAGCACCAGAGGACCAAGAGAAGACCACCTTCACATGCCCTTATGAGACTTTCGCCTTCCGTCGAATGCCATTTGGACTTTGCAATGCGCCAGCCACCTTCCAAAGGTGTATGATGTCAATCTTTTCAGATATTGTAGAGCGAATTATTGAAATTTTCATGGATGATTTTTCTGTATTCGGATTGTCTTTTGATGATTGTCTTGGGAATTTGGCGTTAGTTTTGAAGAGATGTGAAGAAACTAACCTTGTACTTAATTGGGAAAAGTGTCACTTCATGGTAAAAGAGGGAATTGTCTTGGGTCATCGGATCTCTTCAAAGGGGATTGAAGTGGATAGAGCAAAAATTGAGACAATCGAGAAGCTTCGACCACCAACAACAATAAAAGGAGTACGGAGCTTTCTTGGACATGTCGGATTTTATAGAAGATTTATTAAAGACTTTTCCAAGATCTCCAAACCCCTTTGTAGCTTGCTTGTGAAAGAAACACCTTTTGTGTTTGATGAAGAATGTGATAAGGCGTTCTTGCCACTAAAAGAGAAGCTTGTGTTGACTTCGATTGTTATAGCTCTGGATTGGGATCTACCGTTTGAATTGATGTTCAATGCAAGTGACTATGCTGTTGGTGCAGTATTGGGCAGCGAAGGAACAAATGGTTTCATATCAATTATTATGCTAGTAGAATTCTTAATGATGCCCAACTCAACTATGCCACAACTGAGAAGGAACTTTTTGCTATAGTCTTTGCTTTTGACAAGTTTTGACCATATCTCATTGGGAATAAGGTGATAGTCTACACTGATCATTCGGCAATTTAAGACCTTATCATGAAGAAGGAAGCCAAGCCAAGACTCGTCCGTTGGGTTCTCTTGCTGCAAGAATTTGATATTAAGATTAAAGACAGGAAGGGAACTGAAAATATGGTGGCAGATTATCTCTCACGGCTAGAGTCACAGGAGCAACTTGAGTCCCAACAACTGCCCATAGATGATAAATTCCCGGATGAGCAACTTTTAGCTATTTCTTCTAACAATCATTTACTATGGTATGCAGATTATGTCAATTTTCTTGCAGGAAAAATCATTCCCTCCGACTTTTCTTATCAACAAAAGAAGAAACTTCTGTCGGAAGTAAAGCATTACTATTGGGAAGAACCAACACTCTACAGGCATTGTGTGGACCAAATAATCAAGCGATGTGTTTCGGAAGAGGAGATGACAGATATTTTGATGCATTGCCATACACTAGAATGTGGAGGGCATTTCGGACCTCATCGGACAGCAGCTAAAGTTCTCCAATCCGAATTTTATTGGCCAACATTGTTCAAGGATTCTCATACTTTTATTGCCTCTTGTGATAGATGTCAACGCTCCGGGAACATATCTAAAAGAAATGAAATGCCTTTGCAGAATATTCTAGAGGTGGAGTTGGTTGACGTTTGGGGTATTGACGTCGTGGGACCCTTTCCTTCATCCTACAACAACAAATGCATTCTTCTAGCAGTAGATTATGTATCTAAATGGGTAGAGGCAATCACAACTCCTACTCATGATGGAAAAGTGGTGCAGAATTTTCTCCAAAAGAATATTTTTTCCAGATTTGGGACTCCTAGGGCCATTATTAGCGATGAAGGGACTCACTTTTGTAACAAGCAGTTTGAAGCTCTATTATTAAAATATGGAGTTAGACATCGAAGAGCATTGGCTTATCACCCTCAGACAAATGGACAAGCGGAGATATCAAATAGGGAGGTGAAGCAAATTCTAGAGAAAACAGTTAACAATTCTCGAAAAGACTGGGCTAAAAAGCTAGATGATACGCTGTGGGCTTATTGGACAGCATACAAAACTCCTTTGGGAATGTCTCCTTATCGGTTAGTCTATGAAAAAGCATGTCACCTTTCTGTAGAGCTCGACACGAAGCTTATTGGGCGATGAAGCAACTAAACATGGATCTTCAAGCAGCTGGTGAAAAGCGTTGTTTGCAAATTAATGAGATGGACGAGTTTCGTAATGAAGCTTATGAGAATCCAAGGATTTACAAGGAACGGACCAAGGCTTGGCATGATAAGCACATCTCAAAGAAAGAGTTTCTACCTGGACAACAAGTTTTACTTTACAATTCAATGCTTCGTCTTTTTCCAGGAAAGCTCAAATCTCTATGGTCAGGCCCATTCACAGTTGTTAAAGTTTTTTCCCCATAGAGCAGTGAAAATTACTCATGATGAGAAGGGGACATTTAAAGTGAATGGACAACGGTTGAAACCTTATTTAAGTGGAGAATTTGACAACAAAAAGACCACCTTTCTTCTTGATCCAGCCTAGAAGAAGAGCAACAGTCAAGCTATTGACTATAACTAAGCGCTTCTTGGGAGGCAACACAATCATTCAAACCTCTGTTTTGCTTTTTTTTTTTTTTTTATTCCCTTGCAATTTGTTTAGTTTTCTATATTCTTCTTTTCGTTAATTACTTTGTGTGTTTTCTAATTTCAATTTATTTATTTATTTTGGGTGTGGCAGTAACACGGTTCTCCACCTTCTTGCTCCAGTACTTGAATGCATTGATGAGGATGCCAAGAGAGATGAAGCTTGATCCATCGCCACCAATGAACAGGGAAGTTTCTTCTTATCATTTTTTCCCTTTCTTTGTTCCACATTGAGGACAATGTTAGGTTTTAGTCGGGGGGTGTTGAGCATGAATATATGCATTCCTGTTTGCATGAATTCAGATTTGGTATCAAGAATGCATTCCAATTTACATGAATTCAGCTTTGGTATTTTGGCTTGATTACAATGTATTTTTGCTTGAGTCAATAGTGCTATCTGAGTAAGATATTAAAACACCTCAGAAATTTTTTCTTTTCATACACGTAAACTAAGCTCATGTGGTTTGATGGATGTGGAACTCATACAATTAGAGAACACTCAAATTAAAGTTGCAACCTTTTACACTTGTGAGCAATTGGGCCATTCTCACTTTTCTGAGAGATGTTATCATATTCTTAATATTACCTTCAACATTGTCTCATTACAAGATCTCATTATTCCCCAAATTTGGTTGATTAATGGGAATGCCATTACACGGTTTGTGGTATGTTGGTTTGATTATACTCAGGAAATGATGAAGATCAATTTAGAATGTAGTTTAAGCCTTTCAAGCCGACCAATGTCTCATTGAATAGAAGTCACTTTGAGCTAAAATCTCATCAGTCTTTGTTAAGCCATTTATTTCCTCACCCACTCCACATTGTAGGTTGAGCCTAAGTTGAACATCTCCTTTGCCTTCAAATATCAAGTATGTAGTATAGATTATGGAATATGCTGTTGAAAAAAAAAATTTCAGAAATGAATGAAGAAAGGGTATGAAAAATATTTTAAAGCAAGGTGTGTTGTTGCGAAAATCCCAAAAAATAAAATAAAATAAAATTTTACCATTGTACACAATTACAGTCGCATACTTGATCAAATGTCTCACACGTGGGGCCCCCTTGGTGGAAAAATGGGCACCAGACAGCCCTTAAGTCTACAAGTTGATGAAGATCCTCAGTATATACTTGAGAATTAATATTTTTCTTCAATCTTCTTATCCTTCCTTTCAATTTGACCCCAGTCATATTACAACCCTTTATTGACCTTTTGATCCTAAGTGGGTTAGTGGTTAGAATGGTTGAGTTCCCATTAGTTGGCATCCTCTCATGAGATCAATTTTGTTATTTCACTCTTTTGCTCCTATTTCACTCATTTGCCCGCAGACAATTATTATTCCTTCCATATATTTGAGAGGCAATTTTTTTCAACCTTCATTACCTCTGTTGGCAATAGATTTTTTTTTTTTTATGGCTGAATATTACACTTAATATTTGCAAAAATAACTTTTGTCTGGGATGTTCTCGACACTGTATGAGTTTTGGTTTGATGGAAAGATGGTGAAGAGCTTAACACACACACACACACACGAGTTCTAGGAGTGTGCTTTGACAGACAAACTTTGAGAGCATTGTTGATCTCTGGTGAATGCTTTGTTTGATGTGCCTGAATATTTTTGCTTAATTCGTGTAAAAGGATTTTCACTTGGGATAGGTAGCAATACTCTTTCTTCGCTTGAATTGCTAGGGACTAGCAAGATGCTAATTGGGGGGTGTGATAGAGTGAATAAGATTGCATTTTTAATGCTGGTTGCTCATGATTATTTGCTAATATACAAGTATATTTGGGATTAATAATGATATTTTTATATAGTTGAATGAAGGTCAATCCTAATTGTGGTGTTTACAATTGGGAACATCACACAAATCCTATATTTAAAAATCACATTTCACAACTAACAAACATCTAAAAATCTTTCAAAAATAAGGTGATAATTAAATTTATTAAATATTTAATTATAATATAATTAATCTACTCTCTCTCCCACCCCAACCCAAATAACCTATCATACTAAATTTTAAATTCAAACAATTCTCTATCTCTCTCTCTCTCTCAACCCAACCTCAACTTCGGCAACCCACCTTACCTCCGGCAACCTGCTCCAATGAGAATTTCGGCGATCGCTCCAGCCAGAATTCCGGCAACCCGCCTCACCTCCAGCAAGAATTCCTGCGATCGCTCCGGCGACAAATTCTTCACCGGAAAATATTCCGGCAACGACTTAGGCGATCGTTCCAACAAATGACACTGCACATTTTTTCAATTTTTTTTGATAAATGACTTTTGACCAATTTCATTGGATTTGTGACATGTACATATTGTGACCTGTGACCAATTCTATTAAATCTGTGACCTAATCATGCAGGACGAATATTACATATGATCAATTTCAAAATTAAGAAAATAAAGTTTGAAATTTCAAAAATCATACTATTAAAATTTTCAACAAATTATTCCAGCGGCCTTCGGCAACTACCTTTTTTCCCCCTTCTTCTCTTCTTCTTTTGTTTTTTTGGAAATGATCTGTAACTAACTTTATTGACTTTGTGACCTAATCAGGTGGGATGAATATGCATATAACAAAACCTGTGTTGCATGTGATCAAAATTTTTTACGACAAGATCTATATTATATGTAACTAATTGTGACCAAACTTATATTCGGTGTGATTGTTTAATTTATAATCGTATATAACCAAGTCACTATTTGTGTAATTTGTGACTAACTGTGACCAACTTTGTTTTCAGTGTGACTATCTGTGACCGTCTAATTTATGATTGTCTATAACCAAGTCACAAACATATATTAGCTGTGATTAACTGTGACCAAATTTATCCTTATTGTGACTAAATGTGATCAAATTTGTATTCAGTGTGTCTGTCTGTGACCAGGTCAACCTTTTAACTGTGACGAAATGTGATCAAGTCACAATCAGTTACAATCAACATAAAATTGGTCACAATCAGTCACAAATCACAAATTTTTTAGGTTGAAACTTTTTTATCGATCAAAATTATTAAATTAATTGATCACCACTTTTTTGGTCACAAATCACACATTTTATAGGCCAAAACTTATGTATCATCACTCATCAGTCACAAATTCTCAAATTTATTGGTCACAACTTCTTGTCAGTCGTCAATTTTCAAATTAATTAAGTCGAACCATTTCCTATCCAATAGAAATAAAAATCCACAAAATAGAGAATTTCGAAACGAAAACACAATCTGTTCCCTTTCTCTCTTTCTTCTCCGCCGACATATCAACGATTAGCCGTCACTCCACGGTGGCTTCACCTCACACATTTCTTGAAATCCGTTGCTTATAAACATTTATATCAACGATCTGTCATCCCTTCTCTCTGTCTTCTCCGTCGACTTTTCTTACTTTATTGCCTAATGATGTTTGAATTCCTCATATTAAATTAAAAAGAAAATGAAACAAGCAAAAGAAAGAGATCTAATATATTCACCAATAAAAACAAAAATCAGATCAACAATGAAAAATAGCAAAAAAATAATATTGGTATAAACTATTTTTTTGTGTGTTTCAGAAAGAGAGGTAGAAAATGGGTAAGTATAAATCTCGAGGAGGTGGGCTAGGGGGAATCAAGGGAGAGATGACAGAAAAGTTGGTCCATGTGCTTGGAGTCCTTGCACCGTGACGCCCAGAAATGTAGAATGATTGGAGAGCCCTTCCTTGTGGTTTGATCAAGCTCAGCCTTTGATTTCACCTCCTTCAACGCTCCTTCTCCATCGCTTGCCATTTTTTCTATGAGATTCTACTAGCTTTTGCTACTCCAAGCGAAATAGCAGAGTAATGTAGGGAGAGAAGATGATTAGGGTTTCACCACCTCCCCAATTTTTTCGAGCCCTTCAACAGCTCCGATCGTGATTGGAGATCCAAACCATAGCTGTGAGGTGACGATTAGCCTTGCTATGTCTTCAGGCGGAGTTGTCGTCAGCGATCTCACGATGACATCGCGGTGGATGTGCTCGTCGGAGTCAGGGGATTAGAAAATAGAGAGAGAGAGGGAACAAGAGACAGATTTATGGTGTTATGTATATATTTATTTAACATAACATTAATTTAATAATTTTTATTTCTCACCTGAATTATGAAATTAATCTTAATCCCCTTTATTTATGAAATCTAGTTTTTAAACCCAGGTTACTGGGTAATTTTCCCTTTACAATTTTATTGTAGAAAATGGAGCCCAAAAATAACAAATTTCAAGGCCCATAAGAGAGGACTCAATTCAAGTGCACTTAACCCAGCCCAATCAAAATAAAATAGATTGGAAAGATTAATGAAGGGAGCAAAATCTGTGGAAGACGTCTCTTGCTATGAAGAAATCCCGAATTGGAAACACATTTGTACTGCCCTTCGTAATATCACCATATCTCTCTCATCCGATGTCGTATTGAGCTGATTCAAGAGGCCTTGGAAAGGTAATTTAACGTGCTACAATTTCTCCTGAAATAGAGATTTTGAAATTCTCACGTTTTCTAAGTGAAAAAGGGCCCAAAATCCAAGGCTAAAAATCTGCCGAATTGAAGAGGCGAATTCGGGATTGATTCTTTCTTTTCCTGGTGAAGATGGCTTGAAAGGAGTGGAAGAGGAGGAAAAAAGCAGAGGATGACCAAGAAGGCTGGGACCAAGGTGGAACGATTCTTTTCCTTCCCTTTTGGCTATCAAAAGAGGGAAGCCATTCCAAGAAAATGGGAGACCAGATTCACTGAGTTTTTCTTTCTTCCCATCTCTTTCAATTTCTTGATGTTAACTCTATATTTAAACTTTTCTTCAATTTTAGCATGAATTAATTTCTATCTTCTAGAGTTTGAGATGTAGCCTAACTACGATTATGTGAATCTTCATTTACTTGAATTAATTCGTAAATCATCCTTTACTTGAATTAATTGGTATTTGTTCCAATTGTTGAGTATTTCATTCTGGACTTAATGCTTGTGAATTGACTAATCACCATTCACTTGAGTTGGGATTCAATTTGAGACAGAGAAGTAATAATTGTTTCAGCCAATGTTTGAGATACCATAGGAATTTTGTAGGATAGAGATATCTATGGACTTGTGTAATTTTTATGGGTTTATTTTTGTTCTTAATGAATCTTGACAGACTTAGAATTTTCACAGATATGTAGAAAATTTTCTTGTTGAGACATTTTGTTAATGCTTGAGAACAATTAATGAATAAATTAGAAAGACTTGATTATCAACAATTAGGAACACTCACAATTAATTCGATTAGGATATTCACATATGAGTATTTATGGTGAATCGAAAACTCTAGAGTATCATTCCTCGTGGGATGATACTCTTACTCATTCACTTTATTACTTGTTACGACTTGTGCACTTGCGATTTCAACCAACAATGGTCACACCTTTGGGCTATAATTCTTGGCTCCCTTCACGCCTCCAAAAGAGTGGTCTTCTTTACTTCTCTTTGTGAGTTTTTCTCTGCTAACTCTCTGCCTCTTTCTCTCAAGCAACCTGTGTGGTTTTCTCTTGGACTATATTGATCTCATCTTGGCCGATCCTTTGTGGGTATGAATAGCAACCGTAGGTGGAAAGAAGAAAAGAGAGATTTGGGTGTGTCTCAATAGTGGTGGTGTCGACTTTGGTGGAAACTGAGCCCGGTATCACCTTGGGTATTGCTGGATTTTGATATTTTATCTTAAAAGTATTGCAAATTTGCAATGAGGATGAAGAGATAATCTGATTCTTTTGTGTTGTTTACTCAAGATTCCTTTATTATTTTAGAGTTCATTTATTATACTAATGATTGATACCAACTACTGCATTCACCAAACGGGAAATGGTATTCTGATCCCTGGAGTAATTTTGACGACTGTACATGTAATAATGGAATTATAATCTATTTTTATATGCAGCTAGAGCAAAACTTGAATGAGGTTGAGCAATTTTACACTTCTGCAAATAAAAAGAAGCTGAGCACTCCAAAAGGTAGCTCAGTTCTAAAGGACAAAGATAGCTAGTAGCTGTTTCCCAGCTCAAAAAGGAGGAAATAGGATGCAGCCAGTAGGGAAGCAGCTGTTAGTAAGAGAATGCAAGTGCTTATGTGCCAATTTGCAACGATTCTACATCAGGTAATCATAAATTCTCTGCATTCATATTTGCAATATTATTTATAGCCTTCTACTGCGGCTGCTTACACATGGGGTCCTGTGAAAATTTTATGGTGTTTAGCATCTTTGTTGCCATGTTTTTGTTGGACACATCTTTTAGGTTGTCTACAAACCTCCACCTAACATCCGTTTGTTCTTGCATTTTTGCAACTATTTGAAGTCGGTCCCTCCTGTTAATCTTTTGATGCTTCTATATATTCGATCGCGGTTTACAACTATAGCTTCCATACCTATTTATTTTTTGTTTATTTGGGAATCATCTCTCACATAAAGAAAGAGCAAGAGTAAAAATGTAGTGATTCAAATCCACTCTGATACTCTTATGTAAAATTCCCCCAAAAATGAAAATAGACCGAAAACGAAAATAGAGTTGAAGATACCAAAGCAATCTTGTATCAGACTACCAGTGGATTCTCATGTTTTTGTAATGCTCCAAACTCTATATTAGCATCCAAATTTGGTTCAATACCAGCAAAAACACGAACCGAAGCCAATCCGAATTGATCTTGTAAAAGATCCACTACAAAATGTATATTCAAAAGGAAAGTTTCATTCAAATTCATTTGAAAATTTAATTGAATTAATCATTTTGACTAACTGTTAAATTTTTAGTGTACTTGAGATTTAAAGTACCGTGTCCCACAAGCAAAAATGATTGGATAAGAATGAATTTGAAAATTTATCACTGTTCGCCGACATTACAATTTATCTTAGCAAAACAAAAACAAAAACAAAATTTAAGATAGGATCTTTAAAGTAACTTAATTAATTACTATTTAAGATAACATCTTTCAACCTCAATAACTTTGGGTTTAACTTATCTGAAATAACTATTTCTCGAGTACATGGTGCGTCATTTAGTACGAATTACCCATCGAGCCCAATATTGATTTACTAAAATTCGTTCTATCAAAATCTAATTATTTGACCCAAAAGTATTAGAATTTAAAATATATTCCGCTTTAGCCCTTCAACGCTCAAAAATATAAAATATAGCAACTTGAAAAATAAATTCTATTCTATAAAATTTTGGGGGCTTCTCAGTTTAACACTCATATCTCTAACAGGTTTTCATGTTATTCTTATCTTCAAACATTTAATTAGTTAAACACATTTTGTATTTGATAACAATTTTATATTCAAAAATCCGTTGAAATGATGTAAAGAAACTTTTTTAATTATATTCTTAAAAAATAAATAAATAAAGTGTAAAAAATATTTTTCTCTTATTTCAAAGAATGAAAACAAAATATTTTGATATAAATCTGCATCAAAGACAAGACGTGTTGAAAATAAGAATTTAACGAAAAAAAAGGTTAAGAAAACAAATAATTGTTACAATAAGTAAATATTGAAGAGCTTAACTTCAATTTAAATATTGTATATCAAATCAAAATTGTAGTAGCAATATAATCACCCATATTGATATTATTATAAATGAAATTTATTAAAAGGCTTTAGTCACGTCCAACCATTAGGCCCCAAGGAGCATTGACAACATTATTATCACAAAAAAATATGAATTACTCTCCTTGTGCATTGGGGTTGTTATAAGGGTGTCCATCGCAATCCCGCTATTGAAGGGAACCCCTATTGAAGGGCGTTCCCTTCAATAGCGGGGTGCGGGGTGTCCATTATGGACACCCTTATGGCACCCCCAATGTATGGACACCCTTATGGCACCCCCAATGTACACAACACAACCCATCAAATCAAATTTCTTGAAATAATAGTAATTGTAAAGTAGAACTTTTGCCTTGCTAATTTCCTCTACCAAGTAGATCTCTCCTCTTATGGGTTGAGGGCTACTTTGCTCGAGGGTCCTCGCAGACTGCAATCTGAAAACGAAAACAAGCATATACGAGTTTCAAGTTTCATTGGCAATGGATAGATTAGTAGGTGTGCGATTGAAAATCCGTTGACAGCAAAGTCCTAATAATATTTTATGTCGACACTTCTATTAAAAATGGATATAAAGAAAACCAACTCCAACAGGAGAAAAATAATTTAAATTCTCTATATTTTTATATCCTCTTATTCGTGGAGTGACAAATCATTAAAATATCAAACAAATCTATAATTTATAGTCATATTATTAGGAAATAATCATAAAAAAATTATAGAAATGTTTACATATTTTTAAAGTACAATAAACAAAGAAACAAAAAGAAAAGGAAAGACTTACATTGAATTTCTTCAACCTTGTGCATGTTCAATTAAATTACTAATATTTGCTTGACAACTTAACTTCATGATAATACAATTTATTGGTCAATAGCACTAAATTATTGGTTCTTCTAAATTAATTTATAATTAAAAATAAATAAACAATGTGATTGTGAGAGAGATGAGAGTTGTAATTACTAATTAATGAGCTCTCAATGTGGTTGAAAAATTAGTTGTGTGCTTAACTGTCATTTTGCGTGTATTGTGAATAAACAAATAAACTTTGAAAGTAAAATAAATTATTAGTCAAACTTAAAATAAGTAACGTTTTTACGCCCAAATATATATATAAAAAATAATAATTGTTGAACAATCTCATCTGAAAGTTTAAGTTGCTAGAGATGAAATATATTTATTTATCTATTTATTGTCTTCGATACACCGCCTCATCTCATGCTAGATATATGCATCAAGGGCACCCTATCAAGACACGTGACAAATTTCCTTAAATAAATCATGGTAAATAATTTATATTTAGTTATTTTTTTTTATAAACTCTTATTCATTGAGTTACTATTCATTAAAATACCAAACAAAATTAAAATAATATACAATCATAACATTAGAAAATAAAAAATAAAGAATTGTTCACATATATTGTAACGTCCAATATACAAACAAACAAAATGAAAAGGAAAGAATTGCATTGTTTTACTTCAACCTTGTGCATGTCCAATTAAATTACTAATATTTACTTGACAACTAAACTCCATGATAATACAATTTATTTGATAGTCAATAGTACTAAATTATTGGTTGTTTGATGATTTGCTCTTAAGTTAACTGTCGAAAAAATTAACATACTTAATTATAATTAGCTGCTATAATATTTACTTTGGTTGTATCTAAATCAATTTATTATTAAAATCCAGCTGAAAAATTAATCGTGTGCCCACCTCATTTTTCGCTAATCTTGTGTACTTGTGAATAACAAATAAATTTTGAATTAAATAATTGTATTAATCAAACTTGAAATAAGTAAGTTATTTATTTTACGAGTATAATAAAAATTACTTTTAAAATAAGTAATTTTTTTCTTTCAAAATAAGAAAAAAAAATTAATTCTTAAACTATTTCATCTAAAATTTTAAGTTACTAAAAATGATACAAACTTATTTATCTATTTATTATCTTTGATACACCTTATCACATGCATACCATATACTCATCGAGAGCACTCTACCATGCCATAGGGACAAATTTTCATTAATGACTCTGACTGATGCTTAAAATTCAATTTCTTACCTAACTCATAGACTAATGCTTAACTAACTCATATATAAAGGAAACATTTATTTATATAATTTGTTGTCTTCAAAGTGTAACAAATCCAAAATCATGCAAACAAAAACTTATTTAGAAGTAACTTTCAATGTTCAAGATGAGCTTATTTGATACGCTAAACAATATCACAAAGGTATAAATGTAGTACTAGTTCAACTGTGGAAGAAAGATGCATTAACACAAAGTTTGGGCGATGGTGTTACCGCGTTCGTGGGCTTCCATTGCATTCATTAATAACCCTATTTGGGTTTTTATCCTGAATTGTCCAGTTGGATTTCATTCTTTAGACTATTCGATATGGGCTGCACTTTTATCGTGTCAACACTTTCAATG